TTATTTCAAATCTTTTTTAGTTTTCATGTCTCTGCTAAAATTGCCTATCTGATCTAGAATGATGTCTACTTTTTCCATTAGCGCCTCTAACATTGTTATTATAAGTTATTTAATCTTCTCTCTCTGATAATTCCAACATCTCTGTCATATCTGAATCTTGTTCTGATGATTTATTGCTTTATCTTTTCAGACTATGTTTATTTCTTGTCATTTGATATAGCTTTTTTTTGTTATTGAAAGCTAGATAAGTTGTTCAGGGCAATAGAAACTGAGATAAATAGGCCTGGAGTGTGGAGATTTGTGTTAATCTAGCCAGGAATTGGGCTATGTTTCAACTTTGTTGTTGCCGTGGTTACCGCTATTGAGGTTTGTTGTTGCTGTGGGCACCAGGCTTTGGGTCTTCCCTTTGTGCTTCTCCCCAGAGAGAATCTGTCTCTTATGGTTCTCCCAGCTATAATCCACTCTTATTATTGGAGGTTTGTATAAGTGTGGTGATAGGGTACAAGGGGCAGCATTCTCTGTTCTGATTAAGTCTTAGTCTTTGGAGTACATAGCATTGGGCACTCACAAGAATTTTTTTTCCTGCTCTAGGGGTAGAGCTTTTTTGCCCTCTCCATTTCCCTTCTTTCAGCTGCAGAGAATACCCACCAGTGTCTCAGCCTGTGCTCTTAAAGCCCTTCCCTCTGGAGCATAAGGCTCCTCCCACCCTTAGGTAAGAAAGGGAGGACTTATCTTGGAAGCGTTCCCTGCATGTCCTTCTCCCTGCTGATTGGTGCTACTGCAGATGAAGCCTTTTGTTTCCTAAGGGAAGATGCTCTGGACAGATTTTGCAGTTGCTGCTTTTCCTTTTCCCCAGCCAGAACCATGGTGAGAACTTTCTCTGTACTCCCTGATCCTCTCTTTGAAACCCTGGTAGGGTTCCTAGAGGAAAAGCTTGCAAAACAATGGGAACTACCCCCATGACTGTGATCCCCAGGAGCTTCACCATTCTCATGCTGGTCCACTCTCAGCCTCCAGCAACTGACCAAAATTTCTAGTTTAATTATCTTGGTGGCTTGTGCCTCAGGTGAATAAATGCTTGGGTCCTGTGCCTCCCTGAAGGTGCCTGTCTCTCCAAATTTGGGGATAGCTTCAGGTCTCTGATCAGTTCACAAAAAGTCATTAATGTGCTGTCTGTCCAGCATTTTTCTTGTTGGAAGCAGACTGTTTATGCAGATCAAAAATGATGAAAAATACATTACTGCCAAGAGCTTGTTTTATTTCCCTCATTATACCAAACCCCAAACTTTCTTTTTAGAAACATTCGTCCATAGCAATGGACAAAAAGATTTTGTTACATAGTCTTGTTTCCATTTAGTTAGTCAACTGTAGCTATCTAAATTGAGATAGATGCATTTATAGACTAGCTGTGCTTGGGCCTTCTTTGAGAGCAGCTTTAGATCTAAAATGCACATGGCAGTTGTCTCTGTTTCCTTTTGGGCAAAGATGCTCTGCACGTTGTGCTTCTCCACCCAGTTTATCTTATGATCTTATTCCTTTTGATGCACCATATTCTGCCAGGCAATTCTTTACTTCCTTATATGCTTTATGTAGCTATTCCCAATAAACAACCTCCCAGGCCATAACAATGTTATTCCTCTGGACATCAAAATGGCGCTTCCAAACCAGTGCCTACTGTGATTTCTCTGAATCAGTTGCATCTTAGATGTGTTTGATCAAAGTCTGCTTTACCTCTTCTAGTTGAGCACTTTTTTGCTCACTGAGTTTACCAACAAATTGTCCAACGTCTGTATAATTTTCTGATTACATAGATGAGCAATCCCACTGTTAATATGATAGAGAAGGTCTCTGGGTTCTTTGGATAGAAAATATAAGATAAGTCCAGTTATATGTGTGTGTAGGGTCCTGCTCCTTTATCCTAAAGGAACAGGAAGAATTCCCCAGGAAAAAGCCCATGACAAACTTGTCCTCTCTATTCAGGAGGAGATGGTACAGGGGCAAGACATGACTACAGTTTAGTGTCCCTGTGACCCGGGTGGTGAACCTGGAGGAGCTTGTCACGTGCATCAGTAAGATGGCCACTTAGGGGTCTCATACAATGACCTTCTGAAAATAAAGATCTGACCTCCTCTTAATATCCCATTGCTATATTTTTTTTATTAAATGCTTATACTTATCAGGCAATAACTTTTGTGGCTGTATAAATATGCTTTTAATTGATGGGTAGTTGAAGTTTGTGGTTGAAAAGATAATTTTATCAGAGAAGACGAGGCAAGATTTGAAGTCTTCCATAATTGCTTAACAAGCATATTTGCCCATTGAGCAAATATCTCTAAAGGCTTCTACTATATGCTAACCATGGTTCTAAGTGTTAGAATAGATCATTGAAGGACATAGACAATAGCCCTGCCCTCAGAAAGCTTATATGGCAGTTGGAGGAAACAGATACGTTAACAAAAGAAGTAGGGAGAGAGAGGTATAATGGGAGAAGCAGGATGGGAAAGACCTGTCTGAGGAGTTGATATTTGAGCTGCTGGATGCTGAGGAGGCCTCTGCAATGTCCTCCTGTCCCTGCGATGCAGGGACATGTTAAATGTGAGATGCCTATTAGACATCCAAATGAACATATCAAATATGTCGTTGGGATATATAAGCCTGAATAACAAGACTGTAGTAAGGAATCTGGAAGTCAATGTTTTTAGTGCTCTGGAAGAAGCTGAGATTAACTTGGGAGACTGGATAGAGAAGAGATGAGAGTCCAGGACCAAGTCCTAAGGGATATGAATAATTATTCAGAGGATTGTAGGAGCTAGTAAGGTAGAAGGACAACAGCAGAGTTTACATCAAAACACTGAGAGAAAAAAGTACTTCTGTTAGGGGAAGGGGGAGTTCAATTAAAAGCACAGACAAATGACTCTTTGACTTGGGACCCTGGAGATCATTCATGACCTAGTCGAGTGCTTTTAGTGGTGTGCTGGGAAGGGAGCCTCATTCCAGAGGAGAGGATAGGTAAGGAGAGAATAGGTGAGGAAACAGAGACTGAGAGTATAGATGAGGTCACATGGGTTCAAAGAATTTTTTTAGTTGGTGATTGTTTTTTTGTTTTGTTCGTTTTTTAAAGATGGGAGATACAAGCATATGTTGGAATACTGATGGGAATGCCCCAGCAATGAGAGAGAAATTCATGATACAAGAGAGCAAAGGGTATAAATTAGAAGAGTAGGTAAGCAGGAATCCATTCTGGATCAAATGGAAGGTAGCTTATAATACATGGAAGGCAGAGGGTTTGGGGGCAGTGTGACCTGCCCTGTGCTTTCCTTAACATAGCTATAACTCCTGATCTTTCTCTCAGAGCATAGTGGCTGATAAAGATACACATTTAAATGAGTCTTATTTTTTGAATGTCATTTGTAATTATGTAAAACATAATTTAAGTCAGAGAGAAACCCAGATTTTGTATCCCTTTTTAGCCTGAGTGAACTATGTGCTCTATGAAACCCTAGCTGCATATATCCCCAGTATAAGTGCTATCTCTAAACAGCATCGTGTCACGTCATTCTCACAGCAGATCATGCATACAGGTGCTATTGTAGACATTTTATATAAAGGGGATGGGAAATGTGGTAATAATGATGAAATTCAACCAGCTCTATTGAGGAATCCTTAATTGAGGGAGGAAATACATGTTTGAATTAAATCACTGTGTAAGAATACAAAATTCCGACTTAAACAGAACTCTTAGTAAATGTTTTTCTTTGTAATTTTCCATGGAAATATAGATTTTTTAAAAGTCTGAAGATAATTTTTTGGGGAGCCCAGAACATAGCCATAGAGCTATAATTCTGGGAGGACAGTTACACCATGACTTACATGTACATGTGAACAGGTTCTTTTGGCCGAGCTTGAGGGCTTTTCCAAAGGGTTATTGTCTGGGATAGATTTCTGTCTGCAAGTTGCAACTGCTGCCTTTATGTCACAGGGACATTTCAGTGCATATGGAAACGATCAGTTTCTCTGTTCTCTTCACTTAACCCTCGGCTTCCTATTACTACTCAAGAGAAAATTGTTGTAAATAATTTTTATTTCTGGCCATTTCATTCACAAGTATCTGAAGTTCCTGGGGTAAAGATTATAAAGCTTATTTGGGTTTACTGCTTTAGAGAATATGGACATTTCATTTGTAGGAATTTGTACAGAAATAGGTAGTTTGCATTGGAAGATCAGAGCAATCCTCCCTTCCATATTAGCAATGTTCCAGTGCTGTCTCTGTAATTTTTTTCTCACAGGAGGCTCAGGCACAGAACCAGACAGTGCACCACTGCCCTTTTCCTGATGTGAAATTATGGGAAGCAAAGAAAATAAGCTTAAATTAAACGTTTTTGCGTTTATACCGCGTTATACACTCCTCAGGATGCAGTTCTTCTTTGAGGGGCACGGGGTGTCTTTTCTCAGTGCAACACCAGGGATAGTTAATCTTTCTCCTCCTCGGAGGGGGGAAGGCTGCTTAATGATGATCAAATACTTTTATCTTGCCTCTCAACTTATTGTTCATCATTTAAAAAGAAAAACAGCTCAGTAGTAAGAATATTCTTCTAGACTTTTAATGGAATATCTTTACATCTGAATAGGGTTATTTGTGTCTAATCTCCCATAATTTAAATGAAGGGGCTGCATTGCTGGGTTTTTCATAAAGAGGAAAAAATCCTGATCACGCTCCTAAATAGATGTTCTACTTTTTAGCAACTTGGTGAGAGGTGAATCATTTATGTGAACAATACTGAATAAACCCAAGAATATGCATATCCCTGATTCTTGAGGGACTCATGACAAACTTCTCCTATTCCTCCTAGCAGAACTGTTTCCTTTTCTTTTTTAATGTTCCAGAGCTCTGTTATCATGATTAACGTACTGTTTAGTAGTTACATGTACATTCGCTTTTTATTGAAATCAAACTCATAGGCTATTTGGTCATGGCATTTTACTTCTTTATTTTTTCCCAGAAAGAGCTAGAGAAGCAGAAGAGAATTAAGAGGAACCAGCAGCTGGAAGCAGTGGCCAAAGAACACTATAAAAAGGTCTTGCTAAGAAAAAAAGGTCTAGAGCCTTGGAAGAGATTAAGAATGCAAAGCAAGCAAAACATGCAGGTGCAATGTCACACTGTTAACCCCCAAAATTAGAAAATGGACTTTTCCAAATACGATAAATGCCCAATTAGGCTTTGGGGGAGTTTAGTGAATTAATGCCAGGAAGATAAATGAATTCAATGTGTGTATTTATTTGTTTTGGAAAAGAGTTTAGATTTGGGGCCAGGCACAGCGGCTCACGCCTGTAATCCTAGCACCCTGGGAGGCTGAGGCAGGAGGATCACTTGAGGTCAGTAGTTCGAGAACAGCCTGATGAGCAACAGCAAGGCCCCATCTATACTAAAAACAGAAAAAGTTAGCCAGGCATGGTAGCATGCACCTGTAGTCTCAGCTACCCAGGAGGCTGAGGCAGGAGGATTGCTTGAGCCCAGGAGTTGGAGGTTGCAGTGAGCTATATTGTGCCACTGTAGTCTAGTCAGGGCAGCAGAGTGAGAGTGTCTCAAAAAAAAAAAAAAAAAAAGTTTAAATTGGTCTTCTAAGGTAGCGAAAGACTTGTAATTGAACAGGTTGGAAAAATCTAGAGTAAATTTTTGATTAGAGAGCTCCAAGTTAAGAAGAATAGAGGCTTCTCTCAATTTTAGCAGAGTTTAAGAAAGAAAAAGTTATTACCATAAGGTATAATTAGATTTCTGCTATGATAAAGTTGTATAACAAACAACTCCAAAATACCAGTACATGTCTACGGATAGACATGTTGTAGATTGGGTTTCAGTCTCCCCCCAAGCCACTCATTCTGGTTCCAGCAGCTACTCAGGGCATGTTTTTCACCTGGCAATTGTCAGAAGTAAAAAAGGCCAAAACAAATTATGTAAACCCATATGAAACCTCTGCTTGTATCATGTCCGCTAACATTCCATTGGTCAAAGCAAGTCACAGGGCCAAGCTCAAGATAATTGAAGGGAGAAGGCAGCTCTAATATCCTCTCTACAGAGAGGCACAGTGAAATGATATGGGTGTAGAATTCTATTACAGGGAACAGTAATCCACTCGACCACACAGAGATACATGAAATAAAACACCATTGAAATTTATGTAATTTCCCTAACAAATTTATCCAGTGCGTAGAAAAGGGCATTCAGCTAAATGATCAAGAAGTTCAAAACAGATGAAATGATAGATAGCCTGTCTTCTGGCTCCCAAGCTGGGATGAATCAGGACAGGCCTAACTCTCAGGTCCCACAGAATCCTCCTATGGTGGTCATTTTGGCCGATAAGTATGACTGGCCAAGAGACTCACTTAGATCAGTCACATTCACAGTGCCAGATGTCTAGACAAGGCTTAGAAAAACACGTGATTGTTTGGAGAGGACTAAGAAGGGTTTTCCCCTGTTGCCTCTTGAAAGAATACAACAGTACTTTTAAAAATCTATGAACTCTTGAGTTGTCTGTTTATTTTGATAGAATGATACTCTGAGCCTTTTAAAATTGATAAGACATTAAATTATTCATGTTAGTTTTCTATCAGATGGCTTTGTGGTTTATTAATAATGTCTAAATTTCAATGCTAGTGACAGCTCATTCTACAAAACTAACTGAAAAGTATTGGCATTTCCTCAATTAGATAGTGGTTAAGCACGTAATACAGAGAGGTTTGTTATGAGGTTGCCATCTAAGTTCCAGGAAAGCAAACTGAGAGTGCTGCCAGCCACCCACTGCAAAATTCAGTGGAAATGAAGTGATGGCTTTGGAGGCTGTTTATTCCATTTCTATAACCAGCCAGTCACCTTGATCTTCAGGGAGTCAGCATTGAGAATCCATATATGATGTGAATCTATAACCTCCATATAATAGGGTCAATAGAGCTTTTAGGACATAAACTGTATGTATCTTAAAATTATTCTTCTCTAGTAACTGCCTAAATGTGGTTTACAGTATTATCCACCAAGGTGATGTTTCTTTAAATGATATAAAATTTGAGGAATAATTTCCTTTTCTCATTTAAAAAATTGTCTAGGTGGCAGAAGAACATCACTCTTTGGCCTTACAGAGGAAATGCCTGCTGACCTGGTTCCAGTATAGTCAGGAAAATCTGGCTAGGAAGACGGCCCAGGCCGATCAATTTCATTCCCAAACATTGCTTAGGAGAGTCATCCAGAGCTGGCTACAGGTAAGGCTTCAGGGAAAAGTGCTTTGATTATATCTGATTGCTCAATCCTATGAAAGAAAACTAAATGGAATCTAGAATTTCCATGGTTATTATGTTTTTTCAAGAACAAAAGAGTAGACAATCCAATGCTTTGAAATAAATTTGAAAATCTCAAATCAATTTTTTGTTAGTATAAAATCTTAAGCACGTTTCTTTTTGCACAGTGTGTATAAACTGTAACATATCATTACATCAGCTCTTGTTATTATACTCATTTCTTGTTTCTTGTCTCACAGTGCTCAAGTGATTTTATTAGAAACCTACCCCTTCAATCTTGTAACTGGTTCTGTTGTTATTTTTATAATACATCGCAGAAGATACTATCTTGGCTGCTATGTTATTCTTTCCTCTTTATTCCTCCAGTGTCCTTTGTTCCTGTTTTGTTTCTTTTTCAATTCTGTCTCATTTGTACTGTTTATTTGCTCTAATTCTTTGTCCACTGATATTTGTCTCACTTCTATTCCTGTCCTCATCCCCAGCATCTGACTCATCTGGAGGAAGAAGTAAGAAAACTTTGTGTACATTTTCTTCAGAAGAAGATTTTCAGGGCCTGGTTTAACATGGTCAGGGAGGCAAAGATCGATTATCAGAGCAAGCAGAAGACTGCGGCAGAGCACAATGACAGGTGAGGTTTTGATCTCCAAGAAAATTCACTCTCTGACTTCACAATTGCTCAATAATATATTCTGCTTCTTGAATGTGTCTGTAAAGATGGGGTGGAGGCTAGAAGAGCAGGGCACTCAGAGACACCAGGCAGGAGTGGGAGTCTCGGCTCACCCACTGAGTACGTGAGTGAAGACAAGATAGTAAGCCCCCTGGGACTCCAGGATCCCCATCTTTAAAATGAGGAGGAAGAGGCCTGCCCTCTTTACCTCACAGGGACTGGCAAGAGAATAAAATGATGTGGAAGACATGAAACACACTTAAGCAAATGTACTATATTCTTTATTAGTCATATAGTTTCACTTTTTATGTTCAAATTCTTTTTAAACATTTATTGTGAAATATTATACAAATATGGAAAAGTGCTTAAATCATACAAATACAGCTTAGTGAATTACTATGATGTCACCAGCAAGGTGAAAACGTAGAACATTGCTGACCCCTGGCTCCTTCCCAATCACAGTTCTCTCCTAAAGATAAACTACTCTCTTGACATTTACGATCAATACTTCCCTCCTTTTCTTTTTACTTTTACCTCCTAAGCATGCAAGCCTTCAGAGCTATAGTTTAGTTTTGCCTGGTTGGAACTTTATGTATATGGAATCATTCTTAGACTATATTAATATTTAAAATACAGTATGTCTTATTTAATCCAGTGTCTTTGGGAAATAAGGTATTCCATATAAATAAATTCTAATTTTAAGCATTTTGAATAGAAATGTTCTTAATTTCATTATGCACTTCCCTTTGAGACTAAACAAATGATCTATCCTTTTTTGGTGATTTGGTGTCATTCTTTTTGAGCATCAGTTAATGTGGTGGGCATATTCAGTGACGCCTCCAGGTTCTCAGGTGTGAAGACTATTGTGTACATGTAGAAAAGTGCCCCTTTTCTCACTACCCTCAGATTCATTTTTGGTTGCTTTGTTTTCATTTGTGCACATGTGCATGTGTGTGTATCTGTTCCTTATGATTGTTTTCCCATCTTATTGCCACTAGGGTGCCCACCTCCACCAAAACCTGCTCGTCTTTGATTTGTAGTAACTGGAAATCAGTGGGCTGGGAAAACAGATAAGCAAGTTCATTATAGTTTTGTCTAAATTTAAATAAATACGCAATAAGTGAGGGTATTCAGAAGACTTCCTTTTGAATAAAATGTGCTTTAGGGTTTGAAGTTTAGGACTCAATATCTGTATACTCTGGAGAAATAATTAAATGTTTTGAAGCCCCCCCGTTCCCCTTTTATAAAATGAGGATAACAACGGAACCCATCTTAAGGAGTTATTTTGAAGACAAAATGAGGTAACATAGTAACTCACTAAATGCACTGCTTGGCCCAAAATAATAGCTAATATTTTTTTGGTTTAGTGTCATTGTGAATGTGTTATTATTAAACATCTTTTTTGCTTGCCTTTTTCTTTTTGTCTCTCAGCCACTGTATACAGGCTTAGAGATTCATTTGGGGCTTTCACACAAACCATCTTGTCTGTTTGCAGTGTAGTGGGGGTGGGGAACAGATGTCATGATTTCCATTTTCAGGCAAAGAAACAAGCTACAAGTGGGTAGGTGAATTGCCTAAGGCATGCAGATAACAAATGGCAGTTCCCTGGACTCCAAACCAGGTTTTCTGACTCTAAAACATTATCTTCTTACTGTATCAGTCTTTCTCCCCATTTTTCTAATTCACCCTTATTTGTAAACCTAAAATATAATAGTAAGATAGTGGTCCTATTTAGAGTTTGAAGTTATGAAATCAATACAGGAATCCATGCAGTCAACAAGAAATAAATTCTCAGTCAGTGTCTACTTGATATAAAAGCATTGTTGTGACTTCATCTCTTCCCACTTTGTTTCTTGTTTATCATGTTCCAGCCCCACTGGCCTCCTATAATGTTCTTCAGACAACAGAGCTCACTTATGCTTCCAAGCTTTCACGTGACCTGATCTTCTCTTCATGCAGCTCTCTGCTCAAATGTCACCTCCCTGACCACCCTAACTCCATCACTGTCTATCCATTAACCTGCCCTATTTCCTTCACAGCACTTAAGGCTCTCTGTAAACTATTTACATGTTTATTATCTGTCCCTTCCAATAGAGTGGAAGTTCCACATCTTGCTCAGTACTGTGTTCTCAGTGCATGACAGTGCTTAGTATATAGGTTTGCAGTAAATATTTGGTAAATGAATGAATGAATAGATGGGTTTTATTGCAGGAGGACATAATATTTAAAGTCACAGCACCTTCAAAAGGAGCTTGAACATTAAAAAATTGATATTCAAAGTTATTACTCAATTTTAAATGAATGAAATGACTCTAAAACATTGTCTTCTTGCTGTATAGAAGAGCTGCTGGTGAAAGGGAAGAAAGGAGAGATGTCTGTTGGTCTTAGGCCTGACCTTTAAATTGTAACAATATTGAGAAAGATGATTCCCACTAATAACATGAAGTTTAATTTTATATATCTACATCACTTCTACATAATTTTATAAATCTGGCATTTATAAATGGTGGGACTAACAGATGTCACCAGTCTCTTGTTATCAGCAGTTATTTTGCAGTTCTGCAGACAGAGCTTGGTTATGCACTTGTCTCATTCTCAGCTGGATCAGTATTTCTGATATTGCTTGTTATTGTGGTTCTTAACCACAGTACCATCATGAAGTAGGTAGTAATGAAAATCACTGACCTGGACCCCAGAAAATGCACATATACACATCACGTACAACTTTACACAAAATGTTAAGGAGTTTGTGGAGCCCAGGTTAATAACCCTTGTCTTGGTGACTTAAATCATATTTATTACACAATAGACCCACATTTAATTTATTAAGACATATTTGCCAAGCATATAAAATACCTAATAACATGATCCCTGGCTCTCATGATTTGGCAGAAAACATGTCAGATACATACGTACATACATACAGGTTTCCGGTTCCAGAATGGTGGTATAGAAGCAGTGGCTTCACTCCCCATCACAGCAAACCCAAAACAAATATGTAGCACTGAGATTATCACCAGCAATATACCAGGACTCAAATATGTGCATGAGACAGTTCCTGGGGCCACAGAGAAGTGAAAAAAACTCTGAGCAGACGGTTAGAGAATCAGACTTCCATATCCACAGCACCCTGACCCCCAATCTGCCTAGCACAAAGTACATGGAAAAATTTCCCCCAACTCATAGTTTCCACACTGGAAAAGTGAGATAAAGGTGGACAACCAGCTTCCCCGGCATCTTGGGCTCCCTAGCAGGAGGCCTGTCCCTATCTCAACCCATACGAAGCATCACAAGTGCCTGAAGGGAAAAATATCCTTGAGGACAGCCAAAGACAAAGTGGGGAGGCAGGACGATCATCCCTAGCCCAGAAAATTCTGCTGTGTAACGTAGCCAAAGGAGATGCCAAATCATAGTGGCTGTTCAGCAGCACCACGTTGTAGCAGGTTCATTTCACAGGTTCATTGGGCACAAACCCTAAGCCAGCCATCCCACACTACTGGGATATCCTTTTTGGGATCTCTCCCATTAGGGATGAGCAGCACTCTGACTGTTTACTAGAGCCAAGGCAAACCTAGGCTTAAGGCACCATCTAGTGCCTAAAAGAAGGCTGTGATCTGTTGGTGGGTGAAACTAAATAGGCAAATTACAAAGAATCTGTAAGCAAATATATCCAGTAAAAAACAAACAAGCCAGAAAGAGAAAACTGGAAGAAATAACCAACTCTTCAATGCAAAGACATAGACATACATCCACAAGAAACAATATCAAACAGGGAATCATGACCTCCCCCAAAATACAAACTATGGAACCAGTGAATAACTCTAATAAAGCAGCAACATGTGAGCTCTCTGACAAAGAATTCAAAATAGCAGTGATCTCTAAGGAAACTAAGTGATCTCTAAGATAACATGGAAAAGCAATTCAAAAATTTATCAGAGAAATTTAAGAGATTAAAATAATTTTTAAAAAATCAAATGTTGGAACTGAGAAGTACATCTGCGGAACTGAAAAATCATTAGAGGCTCTCAATAGCAGAGTGGATCAAGCAGAGGAAAGAATCAGTGATCTCAAAGACAATCTACTTGAAAATACACAGAGGAGAAAAAAGAATGAAAAGGGAGGAAGATCACCTACAAGATAGAGACAATTACCTCAAAAGAACAAATTAGAACAAAAAGAACAAAAGAATTATTGGTGTTCAAGAGGGAGGTGAGCAAGAAGAAGGGGTAGAAAGCATATTCGAACAAATAATAACAGAAAACTTTCCAAAACTTGAGAAAGATATAAATATCCAGGTACAGGAAGGTCAGGGAACACCAGATTCAACCCAAATAAGAATACCCTGAGGAATATACTAACAATACTGTTAAAGGTCAGGGACAAAGAGAGGATCCTAAAAGTAGCAAGAGAAAAGAAGCAAATGATATATATAAAGGAGCTCCAACTCATCTGGCAACAGACTTCTTAAAGGAAACCATACAGTCCAGGAGTAGGTGAGACAACATTTTCAAAGTGCTGACAGAAAAGAACTGTCATCCAAGAATACTGTATCCAGCAAAGCTATCCTTCGAATATGAAGGGGAGATAAAAGTCTTTCCCAAACAAACAAAAGCTGAGAAAATTCACTACAACCTGATCCATCTTACAAGAAATGCTAAAGGGAGTTCTTCGATCTGAAAGAAACGAAATGCTAACATGCGAACAGAAAATATATGAAGGTATAAAGCCCACTGGTGAAATTAAGTACATGGACAAACCCAGAATACTCTAATACTGTAATTGGTAGTCTGCAATCCACTGATAACACTAGTATGAAGCCCCAAAGACAAATCTATCAAAAATGCTAATAGCTACAGCAACCTGTTAAGAGATAGTCAATATAAAAATATGTGTATTAAGACAACAAAACCCAAAAGTGTGGGGATGAAGTTGAAGTACAGAGGGTTTTTTTGTTTTCTCTTTGTT